GCACTTAACAACAACAACAACATACTAGAGCATAAGGAGCTCTGGTAGCGTGATGGTTACGAGTCAGGCTGCTAACCTCAAGGTCAGTAGTTCGAAACTACCAGCAGTTCCACAGGAGAAAGATGAGGCTTTCTGCTCCCATAAAGATTTACAGCCTCAGAAACCCTATGCTGGGTTGCTATGAGTCAGAACCGACTCCACAGCATACCGCCACCACCACAGGAGAGCATGGAGTTCTGGTGTGGTGCTATAGGATAAGCACAACTAACCTCAAGATGGGCAGTTCAAACCCACCAGCCACTCTTTAGAAACCACATTGGGTCAAATGTAAGTAGGAACCAACTTGATAGCACATACCAATAACAACAGTAGAGCATACAGAGTGCCAAGGTATGAAAACTTCTTAGACATTACTGAATATGAGGGAAATGAGGCACTGGGCCTGCGGGCTCAGGACCATAGTCTTGGGAGACATCAAAGCCATTTAGCACAAAGAACGTCCTACCTTCTACTTTGATTAGTAGCAATGAGGTCTTAAAAATTCATGAGCAGCCAAGTAAGGTACACCTTTTGGTCTCTCCCCATGGAGAGCAAAGAGTGAAGATAATCAAAGATGCGTAAGGACGATCAGTCCAATGGACTAACAGACCCATAAATATCAGATTCCACGACCCTGAGACCAGAAGAACTAGATAGTGACCAGCTACCACTGCCAACTGCTCTGAAAGGGATCACATTTGAAGATTCTGGATAGAGTCAGAGAAAAATGTGGAACAAAATTCAAAATTATAAAAGACCAAATCTTTTTTTACATATCAGATAGTGACTGGTTGGATAGGATCCTCTGAGGCATGGCTTTAGTCACTCTTCAAGTCTAGAACTGAATTCACCCTCCTGAATCAATTTTCAGCCAAATAACAGACATGTCTACAAAGGGAATGCAATCCTGGTGTGGCAGTGTAGGATAAGCACTGGACTGCTAACACAAGTTCGGCAGTTCAAACCACCAGCCACTCTTCAGAAATCCTAAACAAAGTAGATATGAGTTGACACCAATTCAACAGCACTTAACAATAATAATAAAGGGAACACCACCAGGGTGGTACCACCACTTGTTAGAACAATCAACCACTCGAGATCAAAAGGGCAGTATTTATATAAGGTCAAAGTTCAGAAGGCAGGAAGGGATAAGAGAGGGCAAATGGAACAAGGAAACACAGGAAGGAAGTGGAATGAGTGTTGTTACATCAATGACATGAAACAAAATGTACGTGAATTAATTGTTGAATAGAAAACTGTCATGCTCTGTAAACCTTCACCCAATTCACAATAATTTTTTAAATTAGTAACATGGTATAAAAAACACAGTGTTTAAGGCATACATACATATAAAACAATTTTATAAAAAAGGTGCCAAACAAGTATCTCTAGGGATAGGAAATGTGAATGGGGAGGGTGACATGGAAGCTGCTGATGTCCTAGTAAAATTATATTTACATTTCCTATGCTGAGTGGTAGAACATAGATGCAATTTATTATTTAAAATGTACATAATAGTTTAACACACATAAACATATTTGTACTTCACAGTTAAAAAGCACAAAGATTAAACAACATCATTCTGGTGCTTACATGAATAAATTAGGAGGGGTTAGAGTAAGTGTATTTAGGCCACTAATTCAGAGGAAGAGTCCTGGTATGGTGCTGTGGATTAATGCGCTGAACTGCAAAATCAGTATAACCGCAAGGTCAGCGGTTCAAACTCACCAGCTGCTCCTAGGAAACCCTATACAGGGTCACTATGGGTCAGAACTGACTTGACGGCACTTAAGAACACCACCACCACAGAAGAAGTGACTTGAAACAGAAAGTGGTTTAAGAAAAATTATGCAAAATTAAAAAATAGGAGGAATCGCCTTTAAATTTCTTTCATAGGGTTGCAAAGGTCCAAAAAAGGATTACCTAGGGAAATGCACTTTGTTATACTCATTGTTTACTGTTGATTAAGCTTTCAGACTTAGTAAAACTACATGTCAACTTGAATATTTTTGTCCAGTAGAAATGCAAATAATTTCTACCTAGGAGAAAAAGAAAACACCAAAGGGCATGGCTTATTGGTCGGTAATACATGAAACAATTTTATAGCCAGGCCAGTAATCTCACCTATTTTCTTTAAACAAATAACAAACACCTAATTCTTGAAATGCTCTCATTAAACAATAAACTGATTCAAATCTTTGACAGGTGTTTCTATTTCACACGAATCATGATTCTTACCTTTTTGGAAATTATAGTGGAGAAAGAAAAGTGAACAGATTTTTAAAAATACTTAAAATTTTAAATTTATGAGATATGATGGCAGATTGGATATAACAGGAAAGAGAGAAAAAGATTCAAAGATGACTCCTAAGTATCAAATTAATCCAAACATAAAAGGATCGCTACCAGGGTTTCAGTTTATACATGCACAGTTTATCCTAAACAAAATCTTTTCATATACATCTCTGTGATCTGTGAATGACTGGAGATAAGTTCTTTCAGTAATACACCTGTCTTAGTCTCATCAGAGTACCTGGAAAAACATGGTCTCAACAGGTCAGTGGCTTCTGAGGGGATCTGCTGAGCCAATTACATTCAAGGCAGGAAGGTCAGCTCAGAAGGATACGGCAATTCTTTTTGTGAATTCAAAGGTGTAATCTTGATGGATTTTCTTAAAGGACACAGGACAATCACAGGGGCTTATTATGAAAAAGTTTTTTAAAGTTTCATAACAGGGGCTTATTATGAAAAGGGCCAGGAAAGTTATGCCAAGGAATTTTTTCCATCACGACAATGTACCTGCTCCTGATGTGGTATGTTGTTGTTGTTAAGTGCCATCAAGTCGGTTCCGACCCATAGCGACCCTCTAGAGGGTTTCCAAGGAGCTACTGGTGAGCTTGAACCACCAACCTTGCAGTTCAAACTGACTGTGCAGTCTAGCACATTAACCCACAGCGCCACACAGTGAGCTATATATACCATATCATATGACTCTTCTAGCCTTAGTCTTTGTAACTTCCACCAAAAGACTCTTCCTACGGAGCCTGGGTGAGAGAAGGTGGGAGAAGATGCTGATAGGATGGCATGATTCAGCTGCGGCTGTTAACAGAGTGATGATAAAAACTTGGAACTCTAACATGGGTTTAAAATGAGCCATCTCAAAAGCAGAAGAGGCTCTCACTACCATCAGAGAAGAGCACGTCCTTTGAACCCCGAGATACATGCACAGTGAACCTCCTTGACCCAGGGCAGAAAGCTGTCACACCACAGGTGTAACAGAAGAGCCACAGCAGAACCAAGAACCAGATTAGTGGACTTCCCAACCCACAGAGCCTGTAAAGCTAAGTGACTATGGGCAGGAGGCTTCCTTGTAGAGTGCCTCTAAGGCACTAAAGTTAGGGAGGCCTAGGTTTGTTGATCCACAGAGCTAGAGCCAAGTGCCTTCAGGCTGAGGCTTATATTGGAGTGGTGTGTCCTGTGGAAATTTATCAGCAGCTGACTGGAACAACTGTGCTCTGAGCATTTCTGATCCCAAATTATAACCTGATAACTTCCCAAATAAACCTCGTAATTGTGAGTGCGGTGTCTGAGTTCTTTATGACCACTGCAATGAATTGTCATATCCAGTTGAACTGAGAGGGTTGTGGGAGAAACGGTTGGTGCATCCTAATTTTACAAGTAGCCAGGGCTATCCTATGAGAATTTCCTTGGGAAACCTTAGCCCTCCACCGGACAGTGCTGATCTTGCTTTTGAGACTTCTTTTTGTCCAAATACTGCAAATGAATAAGATGTGAGTCCCTCAAGGATGCCCAAACTGCTCTTCTTAACGTGGTGTAAATCAAAGAACACAGAATTCTTCAGGGAACGGTTAGAGAGATGGAAACAATGCTTTCAGAAGTGTCTAAACCTAGACAGAAGACACATTGAGAAACAACAGCTTCATATTTTGTTATTTTTGTTTAATAAAAGTTTCTATAATTTTGTAGCAATACTTTTTACCTTCATAGATTGTGGTACTATTCATTTATATAAGCAACACTGGACAAGGACCAAGATGAACAATTTCAAATTTCACTCTGAGATATCCAAATTGAAATGCTGCTCTAGCAGCTGAATATATGGGAATGGTACTTTAGAGGAGAGTTAAGAATTGAATAATACATTGGGAAATCAAGGCTACAGAGGTAAGTAAAATAATGCACATAAATAAGAATAACAGGATAATACA